ACTGCGAAGAGCACTCTTCGGTAATTCACTTCCGGCGAATATACTTACTGGATTAAGCCAAACGTGACACGACGGCGAAAACTGGAGATGTGGTTGGCTGAGTCAGCGAAGTTGCGAGACATTCCTCTTTCAGAAAAACGGGTAATCCATCATAAAGTCTACAGTGTGCACACAACAGAGCTGTATGATTTAGCTGCTATGCATGAGGTGGACGTTTGGCGCTGCAACCTTCGGTATATGAGTTGCACTCTCATCATGTAAAATACCATTGCGATAATCGGCCGACTCACCGCAAATTCTCACTACCACCGAACAACCACTGGATGTTGTTACTTATCTGTGGTAGGCAGCTCATCGGATGTGATGCGGCCAAGTAGTCATTGCGCTCTTACATTTGTTTCCTCACTTCGAACCCTTGACTATACCATCTGACTGTCTAAATTTCTTTTCATAGCTTTGAATTATTAGTGTGATTTCGCGGATGGGGTTCAAAGCAACAGACCATGTTTAATAAATTGAATTAACCTGTTTAAGGAGGATCACCCGTATATGTGACACAAATATCGTGTTTGTGTGAGTCTAAACAAAGACGAAACCGTCGGTCGTGGTGTGCAGCGATAGGAGAGAGCCACCCCGAAACCCTCCACTTCGGTGACGGTCCCAGTGACCGTATTGGCAGAGGCTGAATTCAAAGTCAACCGACGCCACTAGTGAGATTGCGTGTCGCAATCCATGACACACGGCGGGTGCTCCGAAAAACCCGAAAATCTACTTCTAACCGCTGTGTCAAACACTGTTTGCGGAGCTCAATGGCCTAGTGATCATGGCGATAGTCGCCAAGCACTATGCGCCGAGTTCCACTCCTAGCTCGGCTATCTCTACCTGATGAGTCTAAACATAGGCGAAACTGTCGGTCGTGGTGTGCAGGGGTAGAAGAGAGCCACCCCGAAACCCTCCACTTCGGTGACGGTCCCAGTGACCGTATTGGCAGAGGCTGACTTCAAAGTCAACCGACGCCACTAGTGAGATTGCGTGTCGCAATCCAAGACACACGGCGGGTGCTCCAAGAAACCCGAAGATGTTGAACTTACTTTTCATTTCTTGAGGACTATAGTCCTCTATGCGGAAAGTTACATGTATACTCCCGTTTGTATATACGAATCCTCACTTCAGAGGGCAATGGTTGGCGGCATCCAGTTTCGGATTTGCCTGTCACTGTGGCAAGCCACAGGACGCCTGCGCCTACAGAGGGACCATGGATGGCTTGCGCTGCACCACCCACAGCTCCAACCACATACCCCATATCCAGTGTAAACCCGAAGGAATAAGACCGGGAGGCATGCGGATGGGAACCACGTTTCATCAACGGAGCCGGCCCACACTCCTTCACAGGCAAACACAAGCACGCTGTATTTGGGGAATCAACCGCACACAAGGCGGTGGCTGGACCGTAGTCCGCTCCACACTGAGTGCATGGAACCGCTCTTTGAGCCTAGCACGGCCACAAGAACCGTGCACCCCGTCCCCTCCAGCAACGAACAACTGTCTCCTGGAGCCAGTATGAACGATGTAGTGGGTAATAGACAGGTAGGCACCTTGTCAACATACACATCAAGCGAAACCATACCAGGGATATCAAACAACAGCCGTTCACTTTAAACGACAAGCTGAAATAAAATAAATCCAATAATGCATACAGATACGGTGGCAGCATTCATTCTAGCCGTAAAATTATTATACTTTCCACTATTCCCTCTTCTGGATCATATTCCTCAGGGGTTTTGGCAATCTTGATCTTTCTATCCCTTACAGAGTTGCTCGGTACTTCTGGGGATTCAATGTATTTTCTGTTTTCTCTCCCCGTTTAACTTTTCTCTCATGTCATGCACCGCACCTAGTGCTCAATACTGTCACGTGTATCAAATGCCGCCTAAGTATTCTCCAAAATTCATGTGATTTGCCGGCCATCGTGGGGTACAACGTAGCTTTACAGGACGTTGTTCGCTTCGGTTAGACATCTTCTGGTGAGTTGTCAAGTGCTAACACCGTGCTCTCTATACTTTAGTTCGCAGTCTCTGGGACACCGGCTTTTCTAGACCGCCATTAGTCGATTACTCTCTTTTGTACTGCTGCTTTGCTGCCTTGTAAGACTGCGACTCTCTGACTGCTCAGTCACTTGCTCAGCCAACCGAAGGAATACCAAAGGCCAGAACCCAGTAGACAGAGATAGATCAACTCTATTTATTGGTAAACAAAACATGATAACTTTGGTGGTCAAGGTCACTCACTCTTCTGCGTCTGGTTTTCAGCCAGTGTGAGTGAATTCCGCTCCACGGGTTTGCCATATTACGGAATAGTTCGGTTTCTTTGACGTGGGCGTGTATTTGCTAGCCCATCTATTCGCATATGATTCCCAAAGTCGTCGGAAAGCTCAAAGGTCTTACCACGCCCGTGCTGATGACCTTTGCATGTAGTAGACAGTTTACCTGCTCCACTTACATCCCTATTACTTCCCCTTTCGAATTGAGTATGCCAGCGTACCTTTCGAAGTAGACTTTTTTCATAGATTTTCGCTTTGAGATCAACTTGTAGTCATTGTGATCGTCTCTGCTTTCGGGTCGACCTGCATTGGGTATCAGCTGATGCTTGCAGGTTCTGTTATGATCCACGTAGCCGCTCAGCTTCCTCATCCAAACCAAACTTATCTAGCAGAATCTCCCACGGTAAGGATGTTGGTTCCGAGGAACTTTGAGTCTTACCGTGATTCGGCCTCAGCTGATTGGCGTGCCTGACCCATTTCTCATTTCATACCATTAGCTCGTAAATGACTCCGTCCTCGGAAATCTCGCGCGAACACTATGTCACCAATTTTGAAATGACGGAGTTTGTCTGTCCGATTTGTCTTTACTGGACAACTACAATACTTTTCTTTCCTGCTTGGCACTAGGTTATCGAACAATGTCCGGATCATTCATCCAAATAAAGTTTCTGCAGGGGCTCTTCCATCTAGGGCGTTTGGGTTAGGCGCATTCCGATACATGCACAGAAAAGACCGGATAGCGTCTTTTGCGACCTTATTTTGTCTCGCTTTACAAAGACCAGGTTTGAAGGTATCCACGAACCATTTCGCCTGTCCGTTTGATTGCGCATGATATGGTGACGAGACCATCTGCTGAATTCCTTTCTCTTTGCACCACTCACGAAAGGAAGTTGAAGTGAATTGTCACTCTTTGTGACATAGATACAGTGCCCGTCGTAGCTTTTCCTGAAAAACTGATGCCGCATGTCTTTCAGACGTTCGTAGCTATCAGCCACCTCGCAGTTCCCCTCCTCTGTTTACCATTTCACGTTTTTTCATCCGGAACCAACTGCCAACTCCCCTAAGTCACTCACTCCCCGAGCTAAGCGCATGCCCATCTCCAGCATTCATAAAAATGCGTCTTGTGATTGAAAAATGACTTTTGTTCGGTCCGTTGTATCTTAAGTAACTTTCTCGTAATCAACTCTGGATTGGAGTACATCATTGGATGAGGTAGATTTGCACTGCCATCTTGATCCCAAAGTTACACACCTGTCATCCATCACTATTGTCCATTTGTGATAATTTCGACTTACACTGCTTACTATCCCAGAGCTGCTCCAATACACTCGTGCACCTCATACAACTAGCTCAACATCTTTTCCATTCACTCCGTATTTCATCCTCCTTCTCCTCCTCATCATCATCGTTTTCATCATCCTCATCATCAATCATCGTCGTCATCATCCACGTCGTCATGGTCATCATCATATCCTCGTTAGCTGAGGGAGCGAAACACGCCTCCGTTGTGCCGCAATACAAAAAGAGCACATCACAACAAAATTCAAAAAAGAGTAATCTAATGGTGAATATGGTATTATATATGAGATTGTTATTGAAGGAGGATGGACAAAGAAGCTCGCTGCACGAACGCTATTGAGGCCGGCCCTTCGCCATAACAATTAGTGTATCCAACCAAACGTGTTCATCGTCCTTGGGACTCCAGCCAGGCAGTCGGGATGCACCAAACGACGCCAACTTCGAAGCATGCCAATCTTAGCAAGGTTGCAGTGTTCGAAAGCGAAACGTGTGAACTGCCCTCTGCTTGGTTGAACATGGACTTGTCGAATGGATTAGAGCGACGCGCTGCGATTGTATGTAGGTTGACACTAGAAGACGAGCGACTATTGAAGCAAGACGAGGGAGGGTCAAAATTTTGGGGTTCGAAAACCGGGGGGATAAAAAGGAAGCTGGAGCGGGACGATACGGATAAAAAAGCGCAAGAAGGAGAATAAGTAGTGGGGAAGGCTTGAGCAGTAGCGTCCAAACTCCTATCTACTCTGCTCCATGCAGTATATAGGACGCCGTTTTTTATCCTCTGCGACGACCAGAGCATCAGGAAATCATTTGACCAAATATTCATATTATTGCGTGGGCAGATTACTGTCGGATTACCCAGGTCTAGACAGGAGAATGATTAGGGTTCTCAAACGAAGGCTTTGGTACAAAAGATCTGATCGCAAGACAGCTGGATTTGGGCTGGGACTACAGATAGTCCGTTTTCTAACGTAGCGACCCACTATCCCTCCAACCTGCAACCTGGAGGGCCAGGAGACTGAGTTTGTCAGATCTCTAGCCCTTGACCAATCTGATATGAAAGATTCTGAAGGTGCAAACAGCACCATCCAACATAGCATAATGGATCGCCGAGGCACACAAACCATCACACCGCGTTAAGGTCCAGTCTCGTCGCGATGGCACTCTGTATTTACAACCTGAGCGATGTGCTGGTTAACATTTTCATGCCGATGTGTATTTTCCTTTACAGTAGATGGGCAGGTAAAAGGATGCTTTATCGTATATCTTAATTTTGCTTTCATAGACATCACTGAAATCATCTTATCGGCCCCTCCTTTCTAGTGTTATTTAAAGACGGTTCCTACAACTTGCTAAAATCCACCGTCTATCTTCATTCATGCAGGCTCAAACCCCAACGCCCCTGGGACCACCGGCAGCACGCGACCTACTAACAGTAACTACAGTCACTTTTCCACGTTTCCGGGCCAGGCTATTCGGATAACTGAAGGGAGTTCTGTCCCTCTCGTTCTTAGAACATTCCCTACAACCACGGTTCCCCCCACCTCCACGGTGTGTCCGGTTTCTTCAAGCGTCTCCTCCTCCGCTGTGATATCATCTCCAACTACTGTGTCGCAGTTGAGTCCAGAGACCGAATCCGCCGCTCGTCCTGATGGTTTACCTGTTTCTACCCGCAATACTTCTAGAGATAGCTCGGACGAAGACTTTTTCGATGCAGAAGAAGTCTCTGAATTCTCTGTTTATTTGCCAGAACCCTCTGCGGAGGCGAGCAAAGCCGTCGACAGTAGGGTACACGAAAAACCTAAGGATGATACACGTTCAGTGGAAACTAGAGGTTATTCTAGAGACGACGACGATTCTTCCACCCCACCTATCAACGAAGCTGCCTACGAATACGAATCGGATGCTGACCTAACAGAGGAAGAGTCTTACCCTTGCTATCCTCAGGAATTTGATTTGAAGACGGCCAAGGGATTGCGCGAGGCTCGTGTTATTCAGGCGCGGTCTAAAGGTGACAAGTGGGTTGATGTGAAATACACGCTACTCGTTTCGTGATGTCACTTTGCTTGCGTGCACGATCCACATCGAATTGCCTCATATGTTCATTGTCGCTTTCATTCCAACCCGTTGTTTGACCATCTGTTGTGCCTATTTACCCGGTGCAGTTACTTGCACTTATGTTAACGTGGACCGTGTCATCACACCGTAGCTTCAAATTCTTTTGCTGTGTTTTCTTGGCCGACATGTCATGGGAGCACAGGCTGATGTGAAGTCCGCGTGCAAACCAGTGGCCTTATGGCAAATTCGTGGTGTATGCTTCAAATTCTTGTGTCTGCTACTCTACCTACCCACTGCATCTCTGGTGTAGCCGAGTCAGTCAGCACAAGTTTCGCAGACAGGTTGTTCTAATACATCCCAATAAATAGCCGCTTAGGTGCGAGTGCGTTCTGATTTCTAATCAGAGCGGATGCAGGCATGGTGGCTTTTTACTGTTTCGTGGTGCACCGCGATTGACGGTAACCCGGGGGTCTTTAACCCCTTCGTACACGAACAAAGAGTTTTGATCCGAAAAATTATTTTTCGTGTTGACAGTGATATATTTGATCTGGTAACATATTTGACGAACGATTTTGACCGTGACTGATAAATTAAGCAAATGAGATCATGTGTACAATTGTAAACACTGACTCAAGCTACCAAAAAGTACAAAAATGGGAGGATAGAAATATATCGCTGTACGTCTTGTAAGTACTTGCTGTGAAATGTTATGAAACAGATATTTCCATTGTGGAGCAAAGAAACAGGTTGTATTTAGTACACTTTAGTCTGCTGCCTCCTTTGCAACCGTCAAGCTAGCAGCGCTGTCCTAAATGGTTGATGCAAACCGGAAAATGGTCAGATCTGTTATACCTGTCTTCAGCAACTGGTTTGTTTGCAGGCTTTGCGCGCTTTGTAGAGGGAGAATTACCAGCCGTTGTAGTTTTTGTTAGAGCATCGCCAGATTCTTTAACTGATGTGGATGTGGTTGGTCTTCCCACAGGTCTGCACGGATTTTTTGTGGTCAGATGTGCTTTCATTCAAGTGTTAGCAACATCGCTTCTAAAATAGAAAAGATCCAAGATTTGATTTCTTGATGTGCCATTTATAATTTCAATGTTTCTATCTCCAGCTATGAATTTACAAGTGCGAAGTCCACAAAGTGAGAAATCATTCGTACAGTCCATTTGCTTGTTTTGGCCTTAATTCTGTACAAGGAAATAAGAAAATCCAGCTTATCCACGCCTCTCATGTTTTCATTGTAAACCTTGACACATTTTGGTCTGCTTACTTGAATGAATTCCTTTCTGCTACCACTCCACCGACGTACACTGTTCATATCTTCAATGCCCACAAAACTAGACGGAAGAGTAACAGCCCCTTTGTCCATCAACCTGACTACACAGATATCTCCATCTGTTGATACCTTGCAGTCAGAAGATCATTGGCCAAGATCTTTCTCGGATTTCAGCGGACATCCCATTAACACGGTTACCTTTCACAGTACCTAGAGAGTAAATACCTAGCATTCTCAGTTCCCTGATAAGATTCATCACAGTGAAGTAGTTGCCAAAACAAAGCTTTTAATTTTTCTGTTGAGGGATAGTTTCTGACAATCCCAGAACCATTGACGCACCAAGACCCAAATATTTCGTATCTGCAGGGACACCTGTTCCTGCGCCTTGATATAGTTCGAAGTCGATGGCCCTTCCTGATTTGCCACATATGACAAAATTCTTTGCACCCACTGGGCTTGGTTTACTTTTAATGTATTGCTTTGCTTGCATTCTTCCAGTGAATGGTATCATTTGCTCATCAACTGCATTGAACTCTTCTCGGGGTAGCTATAGGCAACGAACGCGCACTGCTGTGATAAGTCTCCAACTTCCGGAATTTATTTTTTCTCTGCTGTGGATTTTGCTTAGCGCTAATGTGGATAGTATTTCGCATTTGCAAGTACCAGTTCACCGTCATTATATCTGCAACTACATTCAATCTTGTGGCCCTTTGCCAATATATACGGATCCTTGGAAAGCCAACGTTGCCCATCACAGTGGAGATACCGAAAAACTCGCATTTCAGCAGCCGTTGTACCGAAAATCTTCACGGTTTTAATCATGTGATAAATATTTGTCTGTTCTGCAAACTTGTCAAACATTTCGGGTCTGAAGTATTGCAGAAAGTATTCTGATGGTGAAGTGAAGCCATCACCTAAACTGTAATCTTCCTGCCAGTTTATGTTTCCTCGGTCACCACTTCATGCTAGTTTTTTTCGACTTCAAGCTTACTGTGCTTTCCTGTTGGTTAGCATAATTGCTGGATTGTTCAAGATTTTCTTCACCGTCATCGATTACATTTCTATCATCATTATCACCACATAGCACATCATGTCCCATAGGGTTAAAGCCCTCGTCCTCAGAATCACCAGCAAGGTAACACCATATCGAATTCATTCAAACGTTGCAGCAAATCATCCATTGTCAGACGTATTCCTGTGTCAGCTGAAATGTAATTAAAAGCGATGTTGATTCCTTGGTTATTGTAATTTTAACTGCTCTAGCAGAAGGTAACGTGACAGAAATATTAAGCAATGAATAAAATAATATAAATAAGCATTAAACAGTAAAAAATGCATCAAATCAAATAAAACATCCATATGTAACACATCGCTACAATGATCAGATATCCAAACTTTTACTCCATTCGGTCACAGCGTGTGCATTCGTACACATCGCTTTTTAGAAAATTATTCACTGAATACGTGACTCTTCTTCAAAATAATAGTGGTACCAAAAGATTAAGAATGAAGTTTACTAATCATGAGTATTGAGCATATTCACTTAAAAATAGATAATCTTGACAAGGCAGATGATGAAACACACCCACCAAGTGGTGTCTTTTTCTCTAAGGCGCTACTTGAATAGGTGTAGAAACCAAGCAAAATCTACCTGTTTACCCACAACGTGTATCAAAATTTCACTGGCCCGATATTACTGGTTTGAAAGAATTTTGCATGCATGTGTGCATTTCTACTCATTGTACACGGAGGGGTTAAAGATGAATTATACCGTGAACTCCCTTTTCTCAACTACGTGACTAAAGGTACTACGGGTGTTGTGGTGGGCATTGACCTAAAGGCCAAGATGTCCCACTCACCGAACTCAGAATTCTTCTTGCCAGGCAGTGTTAAATACTATAATAGCTATGTTGTTGTTTGTGATCCAATTTCGGCATTTAATTTGATACTATGATTTTTTTGACCTTTGCAAGATATAATCCACAGCAGGAACATTGATTGAGATATTCTACTGCAATAGGAACGCCGGTGAGGATATGAATTACAATTTTGAAATGTGTAAGCAGGTGGGTCTACGCCTCCTGGTGTAGGCAATCATATCTACATATTTGTCATTTTTAGAAGCAACAAGTATTTCGGTGCGAGTTCATTATTGAGCTCTGAACTGCTTTACACCGATGACAGTGCATTGCAGAGTGGAAGGTGGAAGCAACATCAATATACAGCACAGCTAATATTCTTGCGGCGGAATCATTTCTCGCTCTCGCAATTGCTCTGGAGTCCTGGCGAATACGTTTTCTCGCTGTACTACAGGACATGTATGAGAGGATTAGAAATACAGAGAATTTGAAATTATTAGTTAATTGCCAAGGTCGAAAATTAAGTAGCACGGTGGTTAAATCGTACGGGTAGGTTTCAGAGAGAAAATTGACGATACTTAGACATGTCTGTTTTTGAATTCTTGCAAAATGCGCAGTTGCCTGCGGTATAGCGCAAAGTGCACCAAACCTCTGCAATGCCATTCATTATTGTTGCTTACAGGTTCTTATTTTTATTCGTATTTTGACGTACCGTGAATTATGGCTTTGGGGTTAGCTCCTTGCGAGATATGCTTATCGGATGCATTGGGAGGTAAGCCAATGTAGAATTGTTGGCTATTATGGCGGATCAACGGAGACACGAATGCATAAAATTGTTAAGAGCGTAGCGCCTGAAAGACAGGTTACTAGCAAAATAAACATGAGATAAACAGCACTTCATCTAGTGACATTGGAGTTATTTGGACATAATCCAAACTGCGGAAGCCTAAAAGGGGGATCTTTAGGGCAGCTTTGTTTACTGGAAGCGAGGGAGTCACTGCCGTTAGATAGCGTGTCTGACATGTGGAATTCTTAATTTATAGGTTGAGCTCTGTGACCTAGCTTTCCCGATGGAAATTTCGGCTATGGCTACTATAAGCTGTTTTCCAGAAATAGCGACATCGTTTGTCGCTGTAAAAGGCTCGCCGGTGGCACCCAAGACTCAACTGATGAATTGTGTGTCCTTAATGCCGAAATCCATTAGTGTTTGATTTTTGCTTCAATTTTGTCCTAATGATAGCTGCTTCGCTTTCATCAAAAATGTGCACTGAATTCACCCCCATCATTTGAAATGCATCTTCGTCTAACCTCTTTCATGCACTTGGATGTTATGATGAACCGTATAGTTCCTGTTAGTCGTTCTTAGACAGGTTTTCAGTGCCATACTGAAATGTTGGCTTGGGATCGTCGTCCCCATGCGACTTATCAGTGTGTTCCAGATCTTTGGGTATCTTATGCTCAGACACCTTACAAATAACTCTTTACTTACCGCAAATATCTGCTTATCTCAATGGCACAAATTGTTATAGCCACTTTGACACTATTCCAAATGAAGGTATACAAATCACTTATGTTGTTTTAGTCTGGAATTGGTTTTGAATATTCAACTTTACCACACGCACCTACAGCACTAGTAACATACAAAAGTGACGGCATGTGAAAGGTAGTATTTTAAGAAATCATGCATGGAAATAATATTACTGCTTACTTTTACGAGTTGATTCTAAAAGCATAAATGTCTACTCAGTAAAAGAACGTGCTAAACAATGGGTGAATGATGCGCCATGGGCCCTCCCATTGGGTAATGTGGTTTTGCGCTTTCTTC